GAGCGTACTCGTGCGTACTCGTGCGTACTCGTGCGTACTCGTGCGTACTCGTGCGTACTCGAGCGTACTCGAGCGTACTCGAGCGTACTCGAGCGTACTCGTGCGTACTCGAGCGTACTCGTGCGTACTCGTACGTACTCGTGCGTACTCGAGCGTACTCGAGCGTACTCGAGCGTACTCGTGCATCTGCTCGAGTACTCGCGTGCAGTCGCCCATCGCGGCCGCAATGCAAAGTCTGATGGTCCCGCGAGGTCGCGCTTTTTCTCCACTGAGGCAGAGGAGGTGAATACGAGTTGCTCTGAATTACAGCTCATGACAGGCACCTGTTAACCCGAAATGGACCATCGTCAAGAAAAAGCCCACACTTGCAAATTTACGGGAGGACTGAGACGGGCATCGGTCACGAGCGCTCGATGCTTCCGCTGCTGCTCGTGCTGCTGGCATCCTCGCAGTGGGCAACCAAGAATATGAGCAATAGAAACAGGTAATGCCATCAGCACCAGCACTCGCACGAGTTTAGTGCTACTGCACAGACAATACAGACAGCAGCATCCCCTCGCTCGAGCTCCGCACTTCGCTACTGTCGTGCCGCGGCCTTTCCTTGGGAGCTGCCTTCGCCTGCGAGGTGGCAAGTCCATGCTGACAATCTGTGCTCGGCCCGACTTCCAAATCCAGCATGTAGCAAAAAAATGCTACCAGCTCCTCCGAACTCACACCACATCGGAACACGCACTCATGATGCGGACCTGCAGCAGCATGCTAGTTGAAGCCCCGCGGGCCGTGCAGTCAAACCTAACATCTAAGCACACGAGACCCCACCGAACCCCTCGGCTAGGCGAAATCCCACCGTGGCCCCTGTCGCATTTGCACTCAAGACGTGAGCCCCGAAGCTGCGGGAGTCGGCTTTCTTGAATCTCAGTTGAAAGGGCAGGAAGAACCCAAGAGGCTTGTTCAAAGGAAGTTTGCTTGACACCCCTGTGGCCGCGAATCCACCGGAGTATATCGAAAAGGGCTGCTGATAAGGCGGCGAAAATCCGACTAGACTCTCACGTAGAACTCAAAAGCGGTGCTAGACCCCGAAGCCCTGCACAGTAGACCCTTAACCTTCAACCGAAACCAAACTTTACATTTCCCTGAGAAATACAGCCCTTCCACCCATTTAACCCGTCTGAGCAGAGCTTTGGACCTTCGCGAGGCTGTCCGCTGAGCTGCCGGAGTCCGGGGAGCTGCTGCCCTCTGGTTTTCGGCTTTTTTCGGTGGAGGGTGGCCCAGAAGTAACGGGCTTTTGCAGGTGTGAAGGGCTTTTGGAGGCTTTTGGAGGTCTTCGGAATCCGTCTTTGGAAGGTCCAGGTGTGTCGCTCGTGGCAGCTGAAGCCTTGCCTCTGTTTTCCGTCGCCGCCCCATGGGCCGAGGCTCATAAGACTGACAGAAATCACCATACAAGGGACCCTTTCTTCTGAAACCTGGACTTGCTGGATGCTCAGAGCCTGAACTCCAAGCCCGCAACCCTGCCCTGCGCGTTGGAACATCAGGCTGGCAACTCAATTCTTGCAACGTTTTGCTTGCAAACGAAACAGGCTTGAATGCACCAGGAACCCATACCATGTCATACCTCAGTCCAAGATAGAAACTCTCCCTCACGTACTCCGTCACCTATCCGGCAGAGATCAAGAGCCTCCTCTTCCTCGCTGGAGGTGACTCTGCGGACCGGCGGGCCTTGAAACCCAGCGCAGGCACTGCCAAAGCCGAGCCCCTACATGTGCTCCCCGTTCCCTATTGCCTCCACGCGGGACGCTCACCGGGGCGGGCTGCTCCAAGGCATCCTCGGCCCGCGCCGGCCCTGGAAGCCGCGAATCTTTGGCTCTTGCGTGGGAGAGCTTCCGAAACAGCGGGGCCCGTTTTCCGTTGCAAGGTGCGGGGAGGCTTTGCCGCTCTGCCGGCTTGGTGCTCCGTCGTCAACACAACTTTGTTGTTGCAAGGAGCTTCAGGGGCGTGAAAGGCGACGCTAGGTGCGGCGAGGACTTAGAGAGGGAGGCTCCTGAAAGACCTGGAACTGGGCAGCTCCCTTTGTGACGTACTTGGCCTTTCGCCCAATGCCCTTGGACAAGAGGTACAAACTCTGAGAGTCCTTGAGGGCACCGAGCCTGGCACGAACCCACCAGCCGTCGCTCGTCTCGTGGCCAATGAGGGGATCTCCGTCCTCCCACCCTGAAGTGCTGGTCCCCAGAGCAGGCAGATGGAAATCATATTCGCCCCTGCCATCTGGCAAGACTCCGTGCAGTCGCGTCTGGCTGCTGCCGGCTTTCAGTGAGATGCGCACCTCAGCCCAGGAACCCCCTCGAAGGCAGGAAGTTTCGGAGCTGGCATAGTTCGTATCAGCAGACACCACTTCGTAGCCCAAGCCATCCAGGCCAGCAGTGTGCAGGACTGCAGGAGCCTGACCGCTGGGCTTGTGCCCAACCACGACCCGCCGAACACCTCCGTCCAGCAGGTACTGCAGAACTTCCTTGTTCATGGGATCTGAGCACTTCTGGTAGCCCTCAAACTTATCTTCGTCGATGGCCTTCCTTGCCGGCATGGCGTGTCCGTCCACGTAGCAGGTCACCACCACAGTGTGCAGCGCCATGGCTGGGCGGCACTGGTAGGCCATCAGCGCCTCCCCCCCGCGGATGCGGCCAGTGGCAGCAGCCGGTTGCCAGAAGGGCCTTCCCTGCCAGGCTTCGACCTGCTCTGCAGCAAAGTCGTTCAGCCCCTCGATCCACTCACGCAGAGCCAGGTCTTGGCGACAGCCTACTCCCCGCACCTCCTCGGGGCTGTTCCTCCGATATCGGAGCGTGGCGCTGGGCACGAAGCCCAAAGCCTGCTTCTCCACCGCTCCATGGACGAAGAGGGTGTCGCCAATGATCACCCCAACTTGTGCATTCCGAAGATAGGCCACTACCTCGCCATTCTTGTCCAGCACTGACTGAGAATAGCTCTCCAGCACCTCCTCTTCCGAGATCTCAGCGACGTCCTTGCCGGCGAGGAGCGCAAGCTCCGCGCGCCGGTGACCGAAGGCCTGTGGCGAGCCCAGGGTGCACGTCAGCATCCACTTCAGTCGTGCTACGGGCGTGTCCGAATAGCCCTTCTTGGCCAAAAAATCTGCCAACTTCGTGGCTTTCGGATCCCACCAGGGCTCGAAGGCAGACTCGGAGCCCAGAGCGACCTCCTCCGCCTGAAGCTCTGCGGTGAAGCGCATTTTGTTAATATCCCGGTTTCCCATGATCAGAAAGACCCGGTCGGGATGCCTCTTTTTCAGGCCAACGAGCTCCCTGGCGAGCTGCAGGTCTCCAGGGCCCCGATCGAACAAATCGCCACCGAAGACGAAGGCAGAGGTCGGGGAGCGAAGCTGGAGCAACTCCTTCTCGTCCCTGTAAAGCACAGCTCTCCCGCTTCCCAGGTAGCGGTTGAAGGTGTCTAAGTCGCCCTCCAAGTCCGTGATGTAGCCGACCTCATCGATTCTCTCCGAAGGAAGCGCGGAGCGTGCCCGCGTCTCGGAGGCAAAAGACCTGCTGGTAGTGCTTGCAGCCAGGCCAGTTATAGCAGCAGCAACACCACGAAGGCGCCAAGCCCCAGCATGTTTCTGAAGACCCAATCCAACACGTCGGTGCGGCAAGCAGCCAGCACCCAAACCAACATTGCGACTCAATGTGGGGAGTCCTTGAGGCAAGCACCTCAACCGCAGCATCTTCGCAGCATGGCCGAGAGTCACACCGTCAACTGCTAGGATTAACTAGACTCCTAGATGCTTCTTGCTGGCACAGCCCTAGCACTACTGTAGGTCGTTTCCGAAGAAAGGAAGAAGTGACCCGCGCAGGGTGGACTGCAGCTCTTCTGAAACAGATGTGGCCTTGGTCCATCGTTAACCAACATTTGACGTAACACACCACGATGCCGCGTGAGTTGGAAGGCTTGCTGGCTGTAATGCAAGTCCCTCCCAGGGCAGGTGCCGGGTAGTGCCTGAACCTATGCATGGACAACTTGAAACAACCCACTCCAATCTTCCAAATCCTGTGCAGTGTCTGGGCACCAGGCTCGCTTCGGCTTCCTCTGCTTGGCCTCGGTTCCGCCAGGCAGTGTGCAAACCGGGCCAAGTCACCCTCATCTTGCATCGCACGGAAGCTGCAGCAACTTCTCAAAGATCGCGTAAGTGGATGTTAGGACTGGACTTGTAGCTCGGGCCGGGAAGCAAAAGCTTAAAGCCGGCAGGCTGTTGCCAAAACTCGGTTGCGAACCTTCCGTCTCCGGACGATTGGGCTCCTCCGCTATATCACCTCCGCACCAACAGAGACATAACACCACAGCGCAGACAAAGACTTGACAAGGAGATGTTTAACCCAAAGAGCTGTTTAAGGAGCTAGGCGACTCTTTGACAAAGGTGCTTCGTGTAACTCTTCATTTTGCACTCGTGGCAGCTTGACTGGGGGACCATCATGACGATTGTTGTCCTGACGAGGGCAGCAGAGAGGGGCTCCAAGGGCTCGGACCCTGCGGACTTTGCGCAGGCTGCTCCTGGTGACCTCGCAAGTGCACGTCGGAGCAGCGAGAGCAGCGGGCGCGAAAGGCAAAACTGAGGCAGCGTGCCGTAAGTGGAGTGCCCCGTGCTTCGCACAGCAATCGGCCCGGGGTCGGGGTTCGCGTCGTCCCCTCCCGCGGCATCGGAAACGGGCTTGCCTCCATTGCACGTGACTGCCAGTGGCACGGCATCAAGACACTCTGGTAGCGCAGCCTGGATTCGAAGTACCGGGCTGGGATTCGTTGGGACCTCAGCCCAGGCACAAGCTCCCCGCTCTGCGGGATGAACACTTCCCAGGGCCACCGTCATGTCTCGTACTGTAGCAGTCGGAGACTTCCCTCCATGGCGACTTGTTTGCTCTAAGTGCTGTGAACTTCCAGGTCGCATCCCAGCACGCGGCAACGTGTAGGAATGCCGCAACACCCGGCAAGGAGCCCACAGTGCTGATAGTCAGGCGCAACGCTGCGTAAGCGGCAGGCTCGGCTCTTGGAAGACCGGGTCCTGCGGACCCAGGCTGAAGTCCGGCGGCTCCAGCTTCGGAGGGGACACGGACACGTCCACCAGCCGACCTGAGCTCGTGAGCTGGTCCCCTGCTGAGTAGAATGCTGGACATGTTTGCTCATGTCCATTTATGGCTGATTGCTTATCTTCTTCGGTCCGGTTTGGCTTGGCACCAGGCGCACGGCTTCGTCGGCCCGCCTGCTGGATGCAGGCAAGGCGGCCTGCCGATCCGACCGAAACGTTCTCGCGGCCCCACTGCCTAGCTGCAATATGTCGAGCACGGCCTGAGGCAGCTCTTCTGGCTCTGTCGGCGCATCCTGGCACCACATGCATGATCTGTGCCAGAGCAAACGCCAGAGCCCTGATTTCTCGGAAACAGGCCGGAGGGTACCCAAACGCTTCGGAAGCGGCTCATGTAGAGCAGGAGCTGTGCGTCTAGTCCTTCAGGCAATCAATCCAACAGCCTGGACTTGACACACCATCTGGTGGCCCAAAGCCACATTCAGGCTCAAGTTTGGGGCTGTTAAGGGCTGTCATATGTGGCCCTCTTTTTCTGGCACATCCTTCCCTGCAAGCAGATCTTGTGTAAGCTTGTAGGGGCAGCTGTCAAGACGCCTGTGCCCGACGGCAGCGGCGAATTCTCCGCGGCACACCTCGTGCCAGGAGTGCCTTCACTCATTCACAGCGTCAAAAGTGGGGGAGCTTTTCTGGGTCAAGGCTCCGGCTTCCAGGTCCACTCCACCTCCAGAAGCTCCTGAAAAGCCACCGTCAGGTTCCCTGCCAGGCCCGAGGGCCCTGTACTCCAGGTGCCACTCATGGTGGACCGGAGGTTCACGAAGCCCGCGCGGATCTTGCCCGAGATCCCCTCGGCCGTCACCGTCGTAGGCCACATCTTGCCCGAGATCAGGTGGGTGCCGGCGCAGGGCGGGCCAATCTCGAAGCTCATGCCCGCGCCGGTGAGGTTGCTCCACAGGAAGGGTGCCTCTTGTGTGACGGTGATGGCCACCTCGGAAACGCTCTTGTCACCACAGCCCTGCCCAAGCATGCCGGTGCCGATGCGGCCCGAGGCCTGGTCCACGCTCTCGAAGAAGGTGGTGTTCGTTGCGCTCCCATGCGTCGCTTCTCCTTTGCTCGACGGCATCAGGTGCAGATCCTCGAGGGAGTCCACCAACCTGATCAGGCTGCGGGATGCGGAGGAGACGGCGCTTTTGTGCTTCGTCGCTTCCAGGCTCGCCAGATTGCAGCCGGCCCTTGCGGCAGCCTCGGCAAGAGCCGCCTCGCCAGCCTCCACCTGCACGCGCTCAGTGGGCGAAGCAGGCGCAGCGGCATGGGCCAGACTGCGATCAAGCTTGCCAAGGACGCGGTGGATGGCTGCCGACAGCCCTGGTGCTGCCAGCAGGCAGCTGGGTTCCAGCAGATCCGCACTGGAAGCACTGACTTCGGAGCTTCGATGAAGCGATGCCGTAAGCTGAACAGCGGCAAAAGCAGGCGAGGCATCTTCCTCAAAGTCCAGCGTCTCACAGCCGCCCTGCAGGCTTTGTGCTTGGGGCCGTCCTTGCAACTCCAGAATGCACAGAGCCAGGAAACATGCTGCTCGACAAGCAGTGGCTTCTCTCCACATGGCTCCAACACTCTACTTCCCAAATCGCTGCTGGGGCCCTTTAGGACCTGGGGGAATTAAGAAAAGCTCGTGCATCGGCCATCTTTTCGAGTTTGAGGAACCATGGAAAGCCTCTCTAGGGGTGAGCCCGATGATCCCTGGCATGTGAAGACATGGTAGCAAGGTTCATGCGCAACATGGCAACATGTCATGGCCATTGCCGGCCCAGCTTTGCACTTACTAGTAGCCAGCATGCAAGATGATGATAGCATCCCTGCCCTGCCTTCTGCAGAAGTGCCTTCCATGGAGCTCACGGTGCCCTGTCAGGAATCAGAATCCGACTGACGAAGTAAGCATCGAACCAACGGTGCTTACACAATCGGTGCGTGTCGTGCTACGGTTGAGAAGTGCTCGGCAAGTTCCATGCAGACTTTCGAAGCTGCAGTGTCTCAGAACTAGCTTGGGTGTTCGTCTACCCAGTCTAGCGGCTTGGGGGCAGTCTTTGTGCCCCAGCACCGCTTCAGGGAGCTGTCTGCACTGTTGCAACACTCTGCTCACTGCGTACAGCAGGAGGTGAAGGGGAACATGTACCTCAGATTCAACTTGGAACACACACACACACACACCCGGTCCCACATGATGTAGAAGGTGTAAGCTCAGCCCATAACGTCCACTTGTGTGTCTCGGCTTGCTTTCTGACCTCAACTGATCGTTAAGCTAGCAGGTTATGAGTGCGCCCCTCTCCGCCGGCACCCTTGAGCTTCTGCGTAGAACACACCTCCTCGCCTTGGGAGGTCGCAGAAAATATTTTTACATCCGAGCAGCAAGGTACCCGCGAATCTTCGCCTGGGCCTTCACAAGGCCTGGCAGCACTGGCGACGACGACGACGAATCCTGGCAAACTTCATATCAGTCTTAGTTTCAGCCTCCTGGCAGTGGTTTTGTGAACCGGGTAGAGATGGCCTGAAAGTGGGAAGAAGAAGCAGTACAAAAGGCCATGGCACACTGTGACTGTGTCAGCTGCAGAACACAGAGAGACATCAAGGAGAACAAATAACAACTAAATGCTTGCCGGTCAGCTCAATTGGTTTTTTTTGCCTCCCACCTTGCTAGGACGAGCCCGCAGTTGGTTTTTTCCCTCAGTTGGTTTAGGGTTTAGGGTTTGGGGCCCTAAACCATTAAACTATAGACTACAAACCGTAGTTGCTGCTTCTACATATCGGGGCAGCCAGATCCCGCTGTCCTGCGGCAGAATGCGAACCGACATGGCTTGGGCTGCCGAAGCCTGCGAGGCCCAAGGCCAAATCTTATGTGTGTAATATAACATAATACAATATCAGAAGATATAAGAGATAATAGAATCTAGTATGGTATAATATATAGTATACATATTATTATCAAAACTGTAACAATATGAGAAAAGAGAACACCTCGGACCTTCGAAGCTTCCGAGCCCGCCTTCACGGCCCGGAGCACCTCTTCGGCGGCACAGCCGTAGCCTTAGATTTACGCTCTCGCCACTCGGCCTTGCCGGATGAGGCCTCATGACTGCTGCGAGCTGTGACTCCGAGACACTATCCAGGATGGAATTTTTGGGGGTTTGGGATGGCGCAGGGCTTTTGTTCCGGTGCTTCGGGCATGAACTTTGGGAAGTTCAATAGAACAGTTCATAATCAGTCTGGGGGAATCGTTCGTTGATTTGCAGCTCATCCTCGAATGCAAAAGTCAACAGGAACGAAAGTCTGGACGGGACCTTGTGCAGAACCTTTGTGGAGGGAGCAGATATGTTTCCGTGGTACCAAGTTGAGCGGCTGGCTTGCTCCAGAAAGCCGAAATTAAGGGAAGCGTATCACTACATACCTGCATGATAGCATTCCACTGCCAACAGAATGGAGCCGTGTTCTAGCCTGCGCTTTCATTCCACTGGCCGGGCTGTATCAGCTCTCTTTACTTTTTGCGTACTGCTCGTCAGACTTCTACGTTCTAGGATGCAACAAGAGGTGCGGAGGTCCAGGCGCAGAAACCGAAGGCCACTGCCATAAGGCCAGGAGAGATTACCTGCAGCTCGGTGGGTGATGTTACATAGTCGAAAGGCAGAACTTTTCATCGGACTGCATAACACGGGAAATCATGTAAACACTAATTGGGTTTACCTTAGACATTCTGCCGGTGCTCTTACGTTGCATGTCTTCGTTGGCTTTACTTCAGCTTTCCCGGACGTATAACTAACAACATATTCGAACGTGTTTTGGTGTTGGGCATGTGGACCCCCTTTCACGCAGTGTGTGTCCCGAACAGGCGTGCTTGAGACTAGCATCACCGGCATTGGACAGGCAATGCAACAAACAAGCGCAACCACCACGTACCACACTGCCTGCAAGCAACACATCATATCCACCGAGGCACTGTGCAACAACAGCAGGCACAGCTTGTCGGTAATGGCGGACCACATGCCATAGAGGTCCAGTTTCCTGCTGACGGTGCTTGTGCTTCAAGCCCAGGGCCGAGGGGCGATGAGGCCCTGACTCCACTGCACATCACCATGGCCTTAAGCTCCGACAATTCTGCACCACTTGCAGCAGAGCGCGCTCCAGAGCCGGCGATGCCGTCCTGGCGTGTTGCAGAGACCAGGTGCTGGGACTTCTGTTTCTGGTGGCCTCTCCCCGAAGTCTTCGCAGCAATTCCTTTAAGCCTAAATCGTAGGTTGTCGCATCGCGGCAGCGAAGAACCAAAACCTGAAGTAAGCCATTGGCAAGCGCGGGCCAGTGACTGCATCTCTGCGCTGGTGGACGAATTTGGCCTCCAAGACCGCGAGGTGCATGATACTTCAGTTAGACATGATTGGCATTCTCACGCCTCACAACAAATCATTTTGGCAACACCTGTTGATCACCCCTTGAGGACCGAAGAAGCCAAGCGACGGTGCTCTCCTGGCAAACATCAGACATAGATCAGCTAGCTATGTCACTGGCAAAGGCAACCGCAGCACTCACAAGTTTCCAAGCTGGCATCGCTCCTCTGGATCGTCAGGTCTCGCAATCCTGCGAGCGACAGAGAAGCTCTCGCAAAAAGCAAAACGAGGTCTGTCACGAGGAAGCCGGCCTCGCAACTTCGGGAGCTCCTCCCAAGCTTCGCCGGGCAGATCGACATTGCACAAGCTCAGCGAAGTCAGCGAGGAGATGGACATCAGCTGCAGCGCGGCCTGCACAAGAGGAACAAATCACGGCTGCGCAACGACCGATGGCAGTCACCCTCGTGGGACTCATTGCAAGAAATCTCTGAAAGTCTGCAAGAGGCACTGCCGCCGGAAGCTTGGGAAGGTGAGCCAGGCGAAGGCTCCGAAGAGCCAGGTCCTCCAGAGTTCTAAGGCCAACCCCAGCAGCAAATTTCTGAAGGCTTTGAGAGGCGCCTTCAAAATCGATAGAAAGGTAGCTAGATAAATGGGTATAACAGGAAAGCAAGCAAACAAACGAACAAACACACCGGCCTTCAGAGACAAAGAGATGCATAGACACGGCCTTAACTAATAGGTAAATGCAAAGATGCAAAGATAGACCGATAGATAGATAGATAGATAGATAGACAGACAGACAGATGGATGGATAGATGGACAGATGGATAGATGGATGGATTGATTGATTGATTGAGAGCTGGATAGATAGATCGACAGACAGATTGATAGACATACTGACGGTAGACTGAAAGGACAAACACACGTAAGCATGAAGGCCGTCGAAAGAAAAAGATACATGGGCAGAAGCAGTTCAAAGATAACCGTACTTGTTGATCTGTTTGTAACTTACTGTTTTTAGACATATATACGGTATGCGCATACATAATTAAGGGCATACATACGTACATACATACATACATACATACATACATACATACGCACATACATAAAT